TTTTATTTTTTTAGTTTTGTAAGTATATGATGGATTCTATTTATGCTGAGGGCACACTAGTGAAAGAATTTAAGAAACAAATTATTGAAGAAGCAAAAGTACAAGGAATTGACTGTGACCTTGAATTAGACAAGTAAGTACATCATGTGACTATCATGTGACTATTATGTGACTATCATGTGACTCATTGTGTAGGATGAGATTACGTGAAAAGAGAGGAGTGTACCCTGGTATAGTATATCTTGATCATCAGACAATTCGTGCTATTAAGGAAACATATTATGTGGAACTATTGAAAGGTCATAATCTCAGTATTTTAATGTTAAACTGCATGTATAGCAGATTTATTTTTTGATGAAAGGCGAAATTGACTTAATTGGTCACTTTTAGGTTAAATTTTGATGACTTCATTACCCCTTACCACATGGCAGCTAATAACAAGCAATTTTAATTTGGTGTTTTCCTAAAATTTGCCAACTCACAAAATTTAGTCCCTCACCAATAAATACTGCTATATGATATTTTAAGTATACTGTACTTCACTCGTATTACTTTTCATTAGGACCAGAGAAGATGAAGAATCATACACAGATACAGGCATATGTTATAAGATGGCACCCATCACAATGTTCAGTTGATCCAATAGAAGAAATTTTACTGGACAATGATAATGATCTTAAGCATGTTATTGAAAAGGTAATCATGATTTTATCATTGCACTGTATGATATAGTACTTGTTCAAACAAGTAGTTATGATGCTATAAGATTAAAACTGCATACTATATTTGTTCTGTGTAAGTACATGTACAATGTAGTAGTTGGCAAATTTTCAATTTCATGCCACGTGTTATAACAGATTTGATAATGTTAACTTCTTTGTGAATCTGCCAATCACCAATACAAGTCTATAGTTTATATTAACATTAATGTAGAGCAAGGCTATGAATAAATAGGTATGTATATCATTTATCATTATTATTATTGTTTTTACAGCTATCAGAGTTAAGTGGAGTACCTACTGAGTATATCTATTGTGCAAAGGTTAATCATTGATACAAAACATAATTAAGATACTTCCTCTTATAACTCTTAGTATGGATTATCATTATTTCCAGTTGAAATATCATGTCTTGATATTGAGAATGAGTTGAAATGGTATTCCATTATTTCAGCCTTATACTCATTAGGACGGTATTATAGTGATGGATATGTCATACATTACAAGTACTACTAATAAACACATGCACATATTATGTATGCATGCATATAATTATTTAGAGACAATAGAGAGACAATAAAAGAGTTAACAGATAAAGAGAGATCAGAAATACAAGAGGCAGAGGAAGCAAGGTACTATCAATTAAT